TATGAACGTAGACGACGAATGTAATAAACAAGTTTTTTAATTTTTGTTAAAAGGGTTTCCATATGAAGAGAGAAAGATAGATGTGAGGACAAAGTAACACCTACGTATCGGAAAGAGGGTACCTCATTGGGAAGAATATCTAAAGGTTCAGGAATGGGAGAGGGTCGCAATCGAAACACACACTGTACTGATTTCTGATAGTTGAGTAGGAGTCCATTATTCGACGACCATGCGGAGAAGTTATCTAAGCCATCCTTTAAAGACTGTCGATGAGTCAGGTTTTTGTGTAGGTGGCCTACGACCATGTCATCGGCATACTTAACATACAGGCAGTCGTTTGGCGATCTCAAATCATCAGTATGAAGAGAGAAAAGATGAGGGGATAAGATGGAACCTTGTAGAACTCCACAATAATTTGGAAGAATAGAGGATTTTCTCTTTCCCGACTGGACAAACTGTGTGCGGAAGGAAACATAATCTCTAAGCCAAGAGACAACCCAGCTCGGAGTGTCGCACGCAGCTGCTTTGGTCAGTAGGAGTTGGCGCGGAATAGTGTTGAAGGCGGATGAATAGTCGAGAAAAGCACATGCATATGCACGGCATCCCTTGTCTAAGTCTCTCAAAGCTGAATGGACAACTAAAGCAACAGCATCCAAGGTGCTACGCTTTGCCTTGTATGCAAATTGTAGAGGATCAGAAAAATTGACGGAGGAGTACTTAAGGGAATCTAATGCAACTCGTTCAGTAAGTTTCAGGATTACAGAAGAGCAGGCAATAGGACGGAAAGATTTAGGAGCAAAAGTTAAAGATTTTTTAGGGATTGGAGTAATTCTTACTGTACGCCAGGCGTCAGGAATCTTGGACTCTATGAAGGATAGATTAATAAGGTGGGTCAAGACGGGAGCTATCTGCGAACAGCAAGACTTAAGGAGAAAACGGAGACACCGTCCGGCCCGCGAACCTTTTTGAGATGTCGTTCCACTGTTGTCACAGTCACAGGAGTAAAGTCGCATGGTGGTAGGTAAATTTCGTTTGGGCGAGAATGGGAGTCGTCGGTAGTACAGATAAAATTTCGATTTAAAGAGTTTAAATCTACATCAATGGATTCAAGTATATTACGTTGACCAGTGAGACGCTTGAGATTCCTCCACAGTTCAGCAGAAGAAAAAGGAGAGGTGGGGGTGGATAAAGTAGAAAAAAGTCGACTGACGAATAAACCGTTAAATCTGGCGATTTCGTTCTTTATTAAAACATTGATATCCTTCACCTTGACACGCTGACCTAGTTTGTAGAAGGCTTCTTTGCGACGTCTCAAGTGTTTGGGGTATGGTAAGGAGATTCTGTCAGGCCTGACCATAACGGTTTCACGGGGACAACAAATATCAAAAATGTGATTCAAAAATATCGTAAGATTGTTAGAGCATAATTCAGCACTCTGCGTTATGCAATTAAACAAAGCGTCTTCTAACAGTGTTAATGAATTAATCAACCCGCCGGATGATAATTGTCAGTGGGCTGTCCTAACTGCTGCCGACTATTTGCTCAATAGTAAATCAGTAGGACTCGATCGCACATAATGCCCAAATGTGCCCAATTTTCAGTGCAGCAACTATGAACGTCCTTCCCAAACTTCCGCGATTCACTTTTTATCCAGCCATCTCTTTTCTATTCGTTCGATGCGCTTGCTGAAATGTTTTGTGAAATCGAAGATGAAGCGCCCCCTAGAACTAAAATCATATTCTCTTACTGTGTGAAACACGCTATTTAAACACCTGTCAACCCACCGCATATGTTTAGAGTACTCAGCAGTCTAGATTATTTGACCCGTTTGCATTTTGGTCATAGATATGGCGTTTGCTACCAATGAATGAACTCGGGAACAATCGTGAATGCACAAGGACTGTTGATTGGCGCCCGTGCGTGATCAAAGACTTGAGACATGCTCGAGGAGGCTCCATTCGTTGATTGGCTGCCTGATTCTATCCGTGCTTTTTAAGACCGATTTAGGCTATTGAGTCATGTGTGCTTACGAATCCCTTGCGCTTCTTCCTCTTCGGGTGTACGATGTGTTTCTCAAGAGCTTGTGTTTGTTTGTCACGCCTGCGGACAGCTGACAACCTTGGAAATTAGGACCTCAAAGATATTATTTTGCAGGTTAAGTGTTATTTCGCTGTCTATAATGAGCCTCTGCCCAAACCGGTTCGCATGCCTTTTCAATTTCCCAGCTTTGCGTTTTCCCCTGATGTCACAGATCTGTGGAATTTCTGATAAAACCATGTGTATGCAAATGTTTTCGCGTTTCTCACCTTCGGCAAAAACACCTAATCTCCCCTCAGAATGTGATGCCTGGGCGGATGGGTAAGTTGAGGCTTCGAATTGAGGCACATCACCCTGTCGGCCCAAAATGCCCAATTGGTGTGTTTACTTCAAAATTGCCTTTGCAGATTGACCTAAAAACAGGAATTGACATGATTAACCGGTCAGTTTCAGTGTCCGCCTTTACATCTCACTTTTGAGCCCGTTAGATATGGCATTCAACGACGATGTCGCCATATGGCAGATTATACATTTCTTGCATTATCCTTCTAACATAAATGCCTTATCCTGGGCTTCGTCGTCCGTCGAAATGTCTCTGGTGGCTGACAGCATGGGATAAGTAATAAGAACTCTTTGTTGTAATATCAGCGGTAGCTGCAGTTTTGGTCATGTACCGGCAGTTATTTTTAACACCTTGTGTAAAAACTGTCCGGTGAGCTCATATGAACTCTATGGAGATGGATATGACTGCCGATGGTGCAAACGGCCGGCCTTAAAAGAGCAGCAAAGCGCTATACGCATTACAGTAAGACACTAATGTAGGCTTTTGCAGTAGTGGCGCTCTGCTCATGATGGCCAGTTTGACTTGTGGACACTAATTAAATGCGAGCTGGAAGATAAGCTTGTGTTCACGTTACAGCATGGAGGCGATCAACCACAAAACGTCAAACACTAATGCATGCACAATGTAGTTTTTAACTACGTGACGCATGCATTAAACGCTGCACGTAGCACACTCGGCTGCGGAACTGAGCCTCAAGGTTTGCCGAACACCATCTAGTAATCTTACTGTTGGATTTTTTGGGTGTTCATTGTTTCGCGAACGCACAAACCTTGAATAGCGTGCACTGCGTTTCTGTTTATTGCCAGCAGCTTGGATATAGATCAAAAAAGATAGTTAAAGGTACACGCAGTTTATTGAGATATAATGAAGTAGAAAATACCCACAACCACATACTAAAGTCTAGTTACTGAACAGGAAATCAAAATAAATATAAAGTACACCGACTGAAGATAGTTTTACTACAACTTGAAGGCGTTCACGTAGTCGATGAACGTTAGCATGGTCACTGCCACCTCGGTCTCATCGGACGGATTGATCAAAATTCGGGAAATTGGCATTTCCTCACACTTTAACTCCACTGCTCGCACTCGAGTTTCCGAATGCCCCGTGAAAATCAAAACCTTTTTGCTCAACATTCCTATAAATCCAAAAACACAGGTGTTAATGGAGTCGGTAATGCGAAACTGGTGCTTAAAACCAATCGGATTTAATGCTTTGATATTCATAAATTTGCATATAATCAGTAGTATTTCGCGTACCTCTCTTCAGTGTCGTAGAGAGCTTGTGTACAAACAAGTCACCTCTAGTAAACTCTCCGACAGCGGTTACACTCTGCAATGGTGGAAGGGTAAACTGTCACCAGTTATGACACTAATTTTAGCACATTAGTCCAATTTTGAACGGAGTGCGTCGGCCAGTCGCGGACGATACACTGTTCTGACCATCGTATTGACATCGCAATATTAAATGTGTAGAAAGCACCAGCTGATTTTCATGTCTGAATTCACATGACATGTTCTGAACTGTATGCTGATGATACAAAAATTCAAGCTTTTTTGCATTACGCATATTTAACGCCATCTCTGACGTTCATCGGTCATGCTAGTGCGTCTGATTATGTGTCATCTATAATATGTATTATAATTTGTATGCATACTGCCCTTATTAATAAGAAAGTGCGTGATAACTTGTGGGAATATGTAGCTATAATGTAAAGTTAGACGGTGATATGCCACTACCTTGATATCCGTATTAAAGTGTACAACATGAAACAGAGTTTCATTCATGTAGAGTTCCTTTGCAATTACAGGCATTGTTTCGGCGTCCACCTGTGGATCTATAGGAAATGGCATAACATGCAGCTCATTTGGGATAGAGGTTACAATGTTAACCTAATCACAAAACGCAAGTTGTATTTATAATGTCATTTAAAAATAAGCGTCTGTTGATTCCAACTAAGGGGCGGAAATAACCCATTGAAGATCTATTTGGGCAACTCACACTTTAACTGTTGTTCAAACTTATTGTCATCCTAAGTCAATAAACTGATTTGTCCAACAGCTGGAGTAAGCCCGCAAACCGTATATTTATCAAAATACCATTTTGCTAATGTAGGTTATAAAGTAGACATCTATGCAACTTACATTCCGACGTCCCAAAAGCCGTGTACTGGAATATAATTGGACTTGACCTGTAGGAATCCAGTGGTTGTACTGTAAAGGCTGCATACCATGCACTCATGCGGCCCTCAGCGACCAACACTTTGTCGGCTTATAAAAAGAAATGTTGTTTCCAATGTACATATGCAGATGACTACATAATATTTTAATAATTTGCGAATGCTTTTAATTTGCAAAGTTGTTCAAATGAATTATTTGTATGCGTACATTTCGATTGACATAGGTCATAGATAACTGGTGAATGCATGAATCAGTCCCCCCCCCAACACGTCTAACAATTTGGGTATGTGGGCAGCATGACGCAAGTCTAAGTTAGGCGACAAGAAATCGCAGGCGGCTGCAACTTACATTCAACAATTTCCCAGCAGTCATTTGGCGGGACGCAGTGTGAACCGTCTGCCGGACCCGAAATTTGAACACCATCCACGGTCATGCTCTGAAAGGCAAAATCTGCGTTATTTCACTTGCAACTGAAAATGTCACAATTCTCATTTAGCTGCGAGTACCAGGAGGTTGCAATCCAACAGTTCAGCGTAGACGTAATCACTGTTCGGTTTAACTGCATATTCGGTTTGAGTACCTGTTATAAAAAACACAGTGCTTAACGTAATTCATTGTGAAGTGTTGAAAGGGAAGACACAGTTCAGGTTGATGAAGCCTAAGTTGGAAAGTAGGGTTATCTTGTCCCAAAGTGCCACATGCCAGCGTCAGACAGAGGAACAGACGAAGCATCTCCAGACGAACGTACGGGTGAGTAGCCCTGGTGTATGCCTTATATACTCGGCGTAAACCAATGATCGCGTAAAAACAAACTTCAGAAAACAAAATTGGCATTCGGTAGAATCTGACCACGTAGGGAGATCGGGTGCGCTTCAGGCTCGCGTATGTGTGCCTAATTCAAGGGAATAACTGCGACCGTTTGAACTGACTTGCGGGTTCATACTGATGCGTATTAACCTCCACCCACATCACTCTCCCGTGTTCTATTATGCTTATTGACGCCTACAGTGATGACCCCCTCCCCCCGAGATCAGTATCGCCGACAAGAGGGACGGATATGTTCTCAACAGCCGGCACATGCGCAATCTGCTCTGCACTGATGCCGGGTTGTTTTGCTGCATAGTGGTGCCGAAAAATTCAGCATTTGGCTGCGCCAAATTAATGCATCCATATAAAGGTCATCCAGATAAAAGCCGCGGAAAAATCCGCCGATTTAGGTAACGCACTAACACGCTGCATCAAAATCAACAGCAAATTTAGATACTTTTTTCAAATGTGGACAGATTTTTTTCTAGAGTAAAAAAGTTGGGAAAACAGTAATTTTTCGCCATATAAATAAAGGATGAATATATTTGTCTGCATATTTTCCGTAAAAGTCGAATGTATTCAAAAGGGCAATGAATTCAATTTGAAAAAATTGTGCTTATAAAGGAGAATTAAAGTTCATTTTATGGTAAAGGTATTATACCGTACTACCGACATAGATGCTTGCTTAAAGCCCAGACACGTGTTTCGCTGATATTCTGCCGCTGCGTGACACAGCTGCGAGGGGTTCGGCTCTTCAGTGGGACCCCCAGCGTTCTCTAGCGGTTTCTGGAATATGAACTCCAGAGAATAATCAAGTGAATAGTTTCAGAAATAATTTAGTGCAGGACTTGGATTTCATTTTATGTAAGTGGTTGTAATGTGTTTGTTCGGGAGAGGAAATTATTTGCATTGTTTGACATGGTAAAAAATATGACAACTTAAGTTAATTTCTTGCATTTCAATTTTCTCAGAAATGTACTGAGAACGCGAAGTAGATCAGAATATTCTAAGATCTATATGCGCAGATCGAAATCTTACGTTCGGGCCGAGGTCCATCGAACACTGCAAGGCGACCGTTCAATATAAATTAACTGTCGACAGGCAGCTAGTAGTATAGTTCAGGGTTACATGATATCATTCAAGCAGCACAGGTACTCCATAAAAGCTAACTGAATAAGTGAAACTCTTGCGTCCCTGCCGCACAGCGGTGAAAGCCGCGTGTCTGGGCCACTGCTTAATAACTGTGCCGCTCGAAGAATATCCTCTATTTCTTAAAGCTAATTTAAGCGATTTTTTGAATGTAAACTACAGTTAATAGCTTTACTTAACGCCCGATGAGATGGCATATTTACAGTGCACAAGACTCACTCGCATTGGCTCCGCGGAATCCGCCACCGCATGGGACTCTTCGACCACATGCGTATGCATGAACACAATTGTCAGAAACCAGGCAGGCATTGACGACATGACCTAATCGCCCGCCCCCCCCCCATAAACACATGCACCGCGCAGGCATCTCTAAAATTTCTACTTCACCCCACCTATCCCCCATGTTGGAAATGTGCTTTTTGATCTCCTTCTCTGCATCACGCCGCTGCTGCAAGTGACATCTGCTTATGCGTAAAATCCTGGGGCGCGCGTTTAAGCAGACTTCGCCGAGCATGTGGCGTGTATAGACGAGCGGTGGATCTCACTCAGTTACTATGCACATTTCCCTCATCAGACCACTGACCCTCTCGGAAAGTGACTTTGCGTCTTGAAATGAAAACTGAGAGTAACGTCGACGACTAAGAGCAATTTTTTTTCAATTTAAACAGACCGATGCGCTTGACAATATTCTGATATGCTAAGGGTCGTGGTATGAAGGATTGTCAGTGGCGGAATGACATGGATCGCACAGTCAGATCATTGAGTTTTTGTGTGGGTTGCCGTGCTGGTGGTCTGAGGGTCAATCAACAATGCCACCTACTTAATTTAGAGTAGTAGAGTCAGTCAACAGTGTCTCCTTCTTAATGTGGGTTTTATGGCATTGGCTGTCATTGGAAATCGAAACGGGTTTGGTGGCACGCCTAGAGGCAGCTGCGGCCGCACCACCAGGCGCTTATGCTGCTGTCGGTTAAAATTCTGATCGAATGTTTGTTGTGGACTATAGGGGGTGTGACGGAACCCCTTAGTGCGAGTTCGGCCGTGTCATCCGCCTATCCCATACCCCATCCTGCTTTCTCTACTATGTCTTGATGCAGCGCCCAGATGGATATGTAGGTCCACTGGTACCACGAACTAACTCACACACAAGTCACTGTGCCTTCTGTCACCCGGCTGTAGAGCCACGCTGAACATCATGGACCGCAAAGCTTTTTTTCTTGATGGTGGGTAGATTTTATTCCGACCGTTCCATTATTTGTATCGTTTGCTTGCCTACGGCTTCGGAAGTAAAGGACTTGAGATTATTCAGAAGATGAAGATGCGATCACTGGGACAAGAAGTTTATTTGCCTGACGTTTCGGATTCTTACTCGAACCCATCATCAGAGACATTCGCAGATAGAGGTGAAGGTGGCACCAGGAGTGCAGTATTTATAGCACGTGGCTGCCGTGGGACCGTATGCGCACTGCAATTAACAGTTCTCACAATCGCCGCTGGGGTCGTAATTGATGCGGCGGTGGCTTGGCGGTAGGAGTCCGAGTTGTTAATTGCCGCGATTTCGTCATCCGTGCTCGATGCTGGTGTGACGATTGCTCGGCAAACTGGCTCACTGTCACCGTGATAATTGCTCACCCGCGCCCTCCCCATGTGACTGATTCTCCTGCCCAGGGAAAATCGCAGTACGCTATAGGGTACCGGGAGGTCATTGTGTTTGTTGATGGATTGCGGGCCTGAGAACCATGACTCGAGTAGCTCGCGGCTCACGCGGTTGTCACCCCTTGCGAGGATTTCGGCCTCTTGAAATTTGAAATTATGGCCGGGTCCCGTCGAGTGTGCCGCCACCTGAGAGTTAGCGTCTCCCCGCCTCACTGCTGCTGCGTGCTCGGCAATTCGCGTACGGAGTAATCTCCCAGTTTCTCCGACATAATTGCTTTCTCCGCAACTACACCAGATCCGGCAAATGACTCCAGACGTTTCCTGCCGTGGCAGCGGGTCTTTTGTCCTCATTACTTGGCGCCTAATGGTTGCTTCCGGCCTGTGTGCAACCCCAACTCCAAGTGGAGTGAGAAGACGACTGACGGCTTCCGAGACGTTCTTCACGTACGGAAGAGCCCGCCAAAATTTGGGGCTAGTTGGATTTGGTCTCTGGTGTCCTTTTCGTATGCACTGGTTGACAAAGTTGCGCGGGTAGGCATTGGCTCTCATTACCCGTCGAAGATATTGTAATTCAGCAACCTTGTCTTCCATTTCACTGCAGTGCGTCTCAACACGCCGGTATAGCGCCCTTACGCAACTGGGTTTGTGACTGATCGGGTGGTTGCTATTGAAGTTCAGTATTTGCGTCGTATTTGTCGCTTTCCTGAACACTTTGGTTTTTAGGCCACCACAATCTTTGCGGCAGACGAGGACATCCAGGAAGGCCAGCTGATTGTTTTCCTCCTCCTCCATCTTGAATTGAATGTCCGGGAAGACGGCGTTGAGTTGTTCTTTGAAAGTCAGCACCTGATCCCGTTCGATGAGGACGAAGGTCTCATCCACATACCGAGCCCAGAATTTCGGTCTGTGTTGTCGCAAAACCAGCGACTCCAGCCGTTGAAGGACCGCCTCGGCTATGAGTCCCGAAATCGGCGAACCCATTGGCGTTCCCTTCACCTGCTCGTAGATTTTTCCGTCGAATGTAAAGTACGTCTTGAGACAGAACTTCAGGAGCTGGATGATTTGGGCGTGTCCGAGGCGATTCTCCGTTTCGTCGTACTTCTCTCGTAGGAGTAGTTCGATTGTCTCGACTGCCAGGTCCTGCGGGATAGAAGTAAAAAGGGACGTGACATCAAAGGAAACCATGATATCGCTTGGCAGGAGACTTACTCCTTTAATTTTCTCCAAGAATTGCGTTGACGAGCTGACTGTGGTGTTCGAATCGGAGGTCAGAAACTTGAGACGTTGGAACAGCCACTTTGCCAGTCCGTAGGTTGGAGTGCCCTTTCGTGACACGATAGGCCGGAGAGGAGCGCCCTCTTTGTGCACTTTTGGGAGACCGTAGAATCGGGCTAGGGCCGTTTCTTGTGCTCTCGCCATGCGTCGGTCGATTGGCGATATTGCACCTGAGTTCTCCATTGCCAACAGCGTCGCGTTAATCTCGCGTGTCAGCGTTCTCATGGGGTTGGATTCGCATGGCACATAGGACTGACGATCCTCCAACAAGCTTTTAGCTTTTTGATTGTAGTCTGTCCTGTCCAATACGACCGTTGAACGCCCCTTGTCCGCAGGCACGATAACGAGGTCGTTGTCGGCCCTGAGTTCCTTAAGTGCATCGCGCTCGACCTTGGAAAGCACATCGCGCGGCCTATGAGCCATGAGGAGGAGGACACTTGGTGTCGAATGAGGTTCTTCGTTTCGTCTGTCGCTCCCGTCTGGCTGAGGATTGATTCCACTGCTGCGATCATGTTGGCAGGTTTGGCATCGGCTGTGTTGAATGAGGCCTCATGCCGTAAAACCTGCATTTGTTCCTCCGTCAGCTCCTTTGACGACAAGTTGTGCACCAGTTTGTCGTTCTTGGATGACATTGGAGCAGGCAGCATACGAAATTTGCTCTCTAGGGCTGCTTCTCGCCTTGCTTTATGTTCGCGGGTTCGTTCGGCCAGCCTCTGCTGAAGCAGTTTTATGCCGGCCTCGCCCATGAACTCGCAGCACCTTGCTTTCTCTTGGTCAATCCTCTGACGGTATTTGCGAATCCGTGAGTGACAGCCTTGAAGGAGCACTCGGATCATTCGTCGGCCGTGCTGAAGTACTGCGCGTCTCGCCAGCTCTGTGTTGACCGGAGGTTTGTATGAAACGCACTTCGGCAGCACATTGTTGTCGAGACACCTGTGCAGAAATCGAATCTGCGCATATGTTGACGACTCTCGAAGGGCAAAGGTTTCCCACCGTCGAGCCGATCGGAGCGCTTCGCGCCCAAAAAGATTGCTGATAGAAGCGAACAGGCGAGTCCCAGGTAGCAGTTCAGAAGATGAAGATGCGAGCACTGGGACAAGAAGTTTATTTGCCGAAACTTCAGGCAAATAAACTTCTTGTCCCAGTGATCGCATCTTCATCTTCTGAACTGCTACCTGGGACTCGCCTGTTCACTTGAGATTATGTCCGATTTTCTTAAAACGGAACACTTGCCTTTGTATTTGCTCACTTTACTCGAATGCGTTAGAGGACAGTTCAGTGTTCGTGACCAGCGATGCCCATTGTGTGTTCTGCATGAGTGTGAGAGCGTGGATGGTGAATGGAAGGACGATTTCTTCAACACCGGCAGCAGACTTGACTTGCATCTATCTAACTCTCTCCCCCATTTGGGCTCCGTGTTAAAACAAGGTAGAGTAAACCAAAAGAGGGGAAGGCGTAGATGGTTGGCTTAATGAAAACCCGCCCATTGAATTTACGCCGCACCACCTGGCCCATAGCATGCACAAGCTAGGATTTAACAGCATGAAAATATGGGGAAGGCTCGAATTCTAACATGTAGAACTACCTTTGAGACCACTGTCAAATTGTGCGTTCCAGCCTTACTTTCAGTCGTGTTTAAATAAACGATCACCCTTATATCTTCATAAACGTCAGATCGTTTTAAGAAATAAGTGTGCCCACTTATGAAGTATGCCTTTTTATTGACTTCAAAATCCTCATATATTGAATAATGTTTTAATAAAACGCATAAGAACCGCGAAGTACAAACGCCGTCACCACGCCGGCGGACTATTGTGGACCAGGCGGCAGAAACCGGACCTAACCACGAACGTAGTGCTCCCACCTCACGCGGCATAGCTTAGGATTGTGTCCAAGAAAAGCTATATCGAATTTCGCTATTTGCCCTCGATACTTCACCTTTAAAATGAGCATAAGCGTAACAGGAACTGACTGTTATGGAACTCCACATTGAACATAGATCCATTTTGAACACTAGTCAATAACAGTAGCCATTTGTCTGTGATCGATTACAGAGTCTTAAATTCAGTTTACTAGGTTTTCTATAATTTTCAGTGTAGGTGACTGAAATAAGAAAATATTTCGGAATTATGGCAGCAGTGAAAAACAAGCTGGTTTATATTGTCTGAGACTAAAATTGTAAAGTGTTGTGACTATGTAGGAAAAATGACTGTTTATAGGTGTTTGGTGGATAAAAGAAGTGAATTATCTTCGGTGAGCAGCGTATGGAACAACAGCAAAGCAAATAAACTTGTCTTCTAACAATGTAGACCTGCATATATTTTACCTCCCGTGGGCAACGCAAGATGTAGGCCGAATAACACAACTACGTCTTGGTTAACCACCCTGTGTGAGGTAAGTTCGAGTTTCCTACTATGACCGCTACTTCCTACGCTTTCTTATGTCTACCTTTTAAAGAGGATTTGATGTGGTTGGCGATTTTTGCAATGGCTGATTTATGCTTCTATAGTTATTGGCAGATGGAGACTTCAGGTATGTTTCCATTTATACTACCGCTAGTAATATTTCATCATCCTGTTCGATATACTGCTTAAAATCATAGCCGAGCCATCTCAAATACGTATTTGTTAATGCGAATTTGAAGAGGTTACGTTGCCTGGGTAGATAAAATTTCAACTATGTTAGTGTATTTTAACAGTTCTCCAAAACCGTTGTATTGGTAAACTTTTTGGGCATCTTCAAATCCAAATACAGATTTATATAAGCTAGTTTTTTGTGGGTAGAAGAACAGTCTTTAACATACCGTAAAAGTGTATCATGTCACAGAGTTTATAATTACTTTACCAAAACACAACACCGTCCAAATGACCAAAGCTAACAAAAAGGCAAAACCTGCATCTCAGTCACTACTAGGCACTATTCTGCAATGAAACAGTTCTTCGACCTAAGTTGAGTAAATGACCTAGCATCACAAACAGTTGATCGGACCAACATCATAAACTACACCAAAACTAGAGTGGACAGGGGCACGCCGATACTAAAAATCAGACTTTTTTAAATCAAAGCACGGCTCCCTTCTTTGAGCTACTACTAACTACATATTAAATGAACGCAACCATGCTGTAAGGCGGTTTTTTGATATTGGCGTATTTAAGATAAGGCAAATTTGGTGCTGTATTTAAATAATGTTTTTCTACAGCGGCATGTTTGTCGGCGAAACGCGGACCTGGAGTTTAGGATTCTATCTGAATATCGCGCAACCTAAGCACATATATAACCACGTTTATAATTCATCCACTGCACTTCAACTATCATCGTTCCATAACAATTGCCTTTCCTGGTGCATCTTGATTAATAGTATGGTCATTAGAAGGAACGATTTAAAAGCTAGCATCTTTTCCATAAACTTTCGACCCCCGTTATATTTATGTACAAATTCACCTTGGGGAATGGTTTCACAATGTTCAAATATAATGGACAATTTCGAGTGCTGTGGAATGCAAACATCAATCGCCTCATTTTTCTGTCCTTCGTTTTTAGGACATGCTCACTTACGCCGATTTTGTCTATAGTAGATTCTCGGGATAGATTGCAGTTGATAGCGGACGGCGACCTTAACCCTTATCCTAAACTTAACCCTAACCCCGACCTCAAACATAAACGTTAGCCGTTAACCTTAACGGCAACCCCAACCCTATTCCTGACAGAAATCGTTACCGTAACCGTAGCTCTAAGACATAGCTGTAAATGACTAACTTAGCCGCTATACTGAAACGTAATCGCACGCTGAAACCCTAACCGTAACCCGAAAACCTAAGCCTAAATGCTTAACCCCAACCAGAAAATCGGAAACCATTAACTGCTAACCTAATCCTAACCTTAAATGTAAATCGAAAACCACATAGGTCAGATGTGATTTTAGAACCCCACAAAATAGTCTTAGTAAAAAAACACCCCTGCCAACTGTAATACGGGGCCTGGCTAGCAACTGCGATCGAGCTTCGAATTCAAAATGCCTTATACATCGGCTGTAAACCCGTCCGCGTTGTAGTAAAACTATCAACTCAGTTAATATGCTACTAAGTAAAGTTACACTTTGCGTAATGCGTTAAATACGTACAGCATGTTGAGGGAATGACTGTCGGAATCTTTAAAACTGGTGTCTAAGACTTCGGTCGATTTCACTAAGAGGAACCAACTGCAGTCTCAATATAGCCACTGAAAAGCACGTCTTTATCCTTCACAGCATCGGCCATAATAGGATCTAGGAATATTAAGTAACGGAAGTGGGATGTCATTGGTGGTATCAGGGCAAAGCCAAATTATCTTTTTTATTTTTGCAAAAATAAGACGAGAATTAGGATAAATTCTCTGGTTGCCTATTATTTATGGTTGTATCCGAACATATGATATGCTATTTGTAACGCTTTCCCCGGTCCAAGCAATGTCGTCCGCAGATGATAATTGACTGTGAAATCCTGACAAGCAGCCGATGTGTCACAATTAACTACATCATAAATAAATAATAAATGTAGACCGACAAGCATTGTAAGGACTGGTTAGTAATCCTTTAGTCCAGTTTACAACTACTCTAGCCAGGTACCAATGGAATGATTTACAGAATAGAACAGAAGCTGTTTTCCACAGGCTACGTTTGTGTGTGTGCGAAGCGCCGCGTAAGTATTCTTCTTCCGAATGCAACAGGCCATTGCAGAGAACGCAAAGCCGTTGAATTAGCTCCGTTTTATTGCATACACGTTAGCAGCCAAACAGGGTCACATGCGTGTGCGTTCTGGATTCGGGTATTTTTAAAGGGTACAATGCTCAGACGAAGAGGACCTGAGTTATTCTTAGGTAAGACAGGTGTGTTGTTTTCGTTCTTTTCAAGCGCTCATCGGTGCGTAAACTGGGGAAATAAAATCTTCTCTGGTTTATTCCATGGAGCAGACGCAAACAATTCTGAAACTTTGGAATAGTAAGCGTGATATTGATTTCAACCTTCATACACCAACGTTGTCTTATCTGACTCCTGCACGACTGTGGCTGAGGTTACATTTATCAGCAAAGCATTCTTACACCAAGCCACCTGTTGTGGTAAGCGGATCATCCTTTATTGCAAAAGGGCGTGTAATGTCAATTAATTTAAAAATATCTTATACAGTGGTGTTCATATTCATGTATCACAAAACCTGTCGTCAAATGACAACCTGACAAGCTCATCGTATTCGGGCAACAGAAAATAAATTCTGAACCATGTGAGGTATGGACATCGGATTATTATTCACCAATTGTCAACGTAATGATATGAGGAAAGCTATTCCTGTAACGAAAATATCGAAAAAGCAAAGTGGTTATTTATTCTTTACTACCAGCACTAGCACCAACAACGAGTCAACGAAACTTAACGCCGTCAAATCCTGTTA